CTGAAGACAATGGGAGTTTTCCCACTGATTTCTGCGGGTTTGAGATTTCAGTCTGTGTGCATGTGTGTGGACGCACACGCGCATGTAGGTGATGTATCTGCCTGCGCGTCTGCGTTTGTGTTCGCCCCTCCGCTTGTGTGTCCTCTGGGCCGGGCCTGTCCGTGCATCTGCCCTTCGCTCTGCCTGTGCGGGCTGCCAGTCTGCCTGGGTCTGTCTGTCCGTCTCTCATCTCCTGTCCCCTCCTGGGTCCCAGCTTCTGGGGTTTGGAAGGCGCCCAGCCCCTCTTTTGGATTCTCATTTCTTTCCTTCCCGCTTTCGGCTCGCTTTGACTCTATTGATCTTCGTGGCTTGATTCTTTTTCCCCTTTGCAGCCACGGAAGTTATTTTAATTTTTTCAGGATATTAAATAAACGCTGGGGCGGGGGGGAGGGCCCCACATTCCTGACCCATTATGGAGCAGGGAGGGCTGGACAGGAGCAAGGGATTTGGAAGGCGCCTCTCGCTGGAAGACATCAGAACCACCACAGCCTGGCGCGGGCCTTGCAGTCTTCCCCCTGCCTTGGACGTGGCCACGGGAGCTAAGCGCCAGCGTGCGCCCTGCTGGGAGCGGCTCCTGGGGAAGTGAAGCAGGAAGCGCCTGCGGTTCCCGCTTCCCTCAGTTCTGGGGGTGCCCAGCTCAGCCCCAGGGAGCACTGACAATCCGGTTGCCCCCAAGAAGCCCCTTTGAGCTCAGCCCTGCTGGCTTCCCCTCCTCCTCGGGACACTGCTTTGGTTGGAAGCCTTGAATCTGGCTGGACCCCTTCCCTTGGCTCCCGCAGGCTGTTGGCTGGGGCCCACCCACAGCATAGTGTCATTTTTGTGCTGGCGCGGGTAACCCCAGCGATCAGATATGGCCCAGCAGAGAAAGTGGTTCCTTAGAAGTTCCCCAAAATGGGGGGAAAAAAGGAACAGCGTTCCAAGGCCGTGGGATGCCTGGGTCCTGAGAGGCAAGGAGCGATGGACATCAATGAACAAGCTGAAACTAGGATGGGCAGCCTCATCCTACCTCGCTCTAAGCCACGTAGCGTCCTCAGTGCAGATGCAGCGTGCCGATTTCCACCTATTTGTGTAGTCGGGAGGCGGTGAGACAGCCCGAATGACCTGGTGCCCATTCACAGCTTGGGGCCACCTTTGGCATAAGTCTGAGGCTTGAATTCATGCCTCTGGAGCTGTAGCAAGATGCCTTAAATGCTGCGCCACTGCGTTCAAAGAAAAGGGAGGAAAGATGGCTTGACTTTGGAAAAACTCGCTTTTTTTCTAGTTTGCACATGAAGGATTTATGCTAAACATCTCCAAAAAGACATAGATACCCACATATAAATTCAGGCCATGGCAGAGAGCAAGCCTGAGACATGTCAGCTCACATGGTGCAAGTTTAGGGGCTTAGGGTGGCAAAGGGCTAGTTTAGTTCAGCTATGCTGTGTCCCCAGCTTGGCTTGCAATCCCACTTGCATGCCAACTGCTCTCCAAACCAGACATGAGAGACTGCTCTGCTTGCTGCAAGAGGCGTTTCAGCGATAAACCCACCACAGCTGTTTTCCAGCACGCCCAAGACAAAGAATTCTTCCCCCGCCTGCTGCTGGCATTGAAATCCTGCTACAGGGGAATATAAGGGGGCAGAAGGCAATGACCTGAGCTGATCCAGTGGGGTCAAACCCTCTTTTGGGCAGTGGTTGAGGATTCAGGAGCTCTGAGCACATGCTCTACTATGGGCCTCATATGTGGGCCCGGAGCTTCTCAGTGCCTCAGTTTCCCCTCTCTCCCCTCTAACAGCCCTGCCTATGAAGATAAGTTCATTAGAGAGAAGCCCAGGTGCTCTGGTGATGGGCTCCCTCTAAATAACATAGAAAATAGGGCCAGAGAGGACCTCTGGAGCTCACATAATTCTTCCAAGAAAGCACCGACTGTACCTAAACCACACCTGACTGGTACTTGCCTAACTTCTGCTAAACCGATGATGATGATGATGGGAGTCCCCAGTTCTCTCGCCTCAGCCATCTCTGCCCAGGTCCTGAGCTCTCCATACTGCTAGCAAGATTTTCCCCAGCATCTGAGTTCTGAGAAGTGCTAGTTGCTGTTGCTGCATCACAAGGATCCAGGCGGGGACCCCCAAGCCGTGGCTTTCAGGCAACCGGCTGCCTGCTGTTAGCCCCAGGG